ATTTTTATTAACAGTTGCTTTAAACTTAAAAGAAAGTTCTTCCAACTTTCTTCTTTTACTCTTTTCTTTACTTACTTTTACATTATACGAGTGCAGTTTTAGAACAAAAGGCACATTTAGGGCTTTAATTTTATGTAAGTGTTTTCGATGTTCTATATTTGTCTTAATCATTTTTCTGTTCTATATTTGTCTTAGTCATTTTTGTATGTTTCAGGTTTTAATTTTATGTAAGCAATTTGTTTATTCATATGTGTCTTAATTGTATTTTTCTGTTTCAGGTTTTTAGCGAGTCGATTCGAGGTTTATTTAATTTTCATTCTGAAAATGTTAATATAAATTTAAATGTCAGGATGAATTATTGACACCTATGTATTCTATAGGTAATAGGCCATCATTGAAGACGTCAATCATCGAGGGATCATCGAGGGATCATCGAGGGATCATCGTGGGATCATCGAGGGATGCGTGCGTTAGTTTTAAGCTAATTTTACGCGTGCGTTAATTCTAAGTTAAGTGTGCTCGTGGGCAGGGCGGGTGGGTCCTTGTAAGTGCCTCTCATTCTAAATTATACTCATCTTCTCAGTCCTCCAACTTTGTACGCGTTAGCTTGTAGAGTACCCCGTTATTTTTTGTCAATTGGTCCGAACCCAAGTGGATCATTGGGGGTTCATAGCGCTGTGAACACGGGCAGAGGTGAGCTGCAAGTACTGGTGTAGCGCCAGGGACACATCTCTGCGGGGCCGATCGATTGATGTTCCGTCTCGATCGGGTGCCTCACGGCAGGGTTTCCTCTCTGCAGTAAGACTTGCTTCAAACGCAAGCGGGGAGAAATGGGAAACTTTCCGCGGATGTGTCACTCGTTCTTGCCAGTACTTTCGGTTCATCTCTGTTCCGTGGTTCACGTAAGTCACTATGGACCACTCTTTGACTCATGGAAGGCGAGGTTCACTTGGCGAAAAATACTGTCCCTCCTTTTCGCAGAAAGTTCTTCTAACTTTCTTTTCTTTTCTTTTTGACAGAATGTTCTTCTAACTTTCATTAGCTTGTAGTATATCCCCTTATTTTTTGTCAATCGTTCTGCGCCCAAGTGGATCATGGGGGGTTCATAGCGCTGTGAACACGCGGTAGAGGTGAGCTGCAAGTGCCGGTGTAG